TCTCCTTCTCCTTGGTTCTGGTAGTGACTTGCTTCGTCGTCGACGCGGAGCCCCGAGGCGTCGATGGTTCCATCACCGTGGGGTATCCTCCCCGCGTTTCCCCTTTCATGTCGCTGATCTTCATCGGCTGGCGGATCTCCTTCTGCGCCTCCTGCACCATCTTCGCGTCGTTGAGCAGCCATCCGGCCAATCGTCTCAACCGAGGATTGCACTGGCCTTCGCTGGCTGTTTCCTTCACCCAGCGACAATACTCCGGGTGGTCGCTCTTGAGGCGGCCGTAGGAGAGGCTGGCATGACGCCCGAAGCCGACCAAGTCTGCTGGCTCCGGGGGTGTACGAGATGCAATGATTGCCATGGCATCCTTCTGCAACTGGGCGATGGTCAGGTTGTAGTTCACCTGCATGCCCAGCCGGTCGACACAGAACTGTTGGAGATCTCCTTTGCGCCTTGCCGCATGATTGAGGTCGCGGACCAGGACGCGGTACTCGGACTCCTCCTCCTGCTTCTTGGTCTTCTCCCGGGTATGGTCGCGCCCCGTGATCTCCTCGATTCGCTGAAGCAGCTCCACTCGGGTCCACTGGCGTGGTGCGGACTCCCCTTCCTGCTCGATCATCTTCCGCAGGTTCTGCTTGGTCAAGTTGCTCATACTGCTTGCCACGCGAACTAGGAGCTCTAGGCTTGAGGTTGCTGGAGAACGGCTGCACGCAGTCGGAGTTCACGTTCACATTCTCGCTGAGGTGGGCTTTGGACTCATCGGATGTGCGGGTTGCTTCTCTGGAAACTGAGCTCTCCCTACTCTCTCCTATGCTATTAACAATTTCAGGATCACTCCCACCACATGAAGCGACAAGCCCACTAGGACTCTCGCTCTGAAAACCCTGTCCTGATAAACCACTGACCTCTCCTTTCCTGTCAGGACACAAGTCGGAGAGGCGTTGTCCCTACTCTTCGGCAGGACGGGATAAAAACTCTTCAAGGCCTGGAATAATCTGTACAGCTTCCTTGGCCTTGTGGTACAAATCACCGGACAAAGGCACCAACATATGCCCGGTTGCTGATCTTTCCAACGGCACGAGCTTCCGTGGATCCAAGTTGCGGAACACCGCCAAGTTCGAGCGGAAATCCACCAAGGCTCCCAGGGCGGTCATCGCCTCTATGCTGAGCAGGATGGGCCCATCGCCCTTGTCCAGGGCGTGAACCTGGATGGCTCCTTGGCGCTTCCCGGCTTGCAATCCCATCTTCACGGTAGAGGTGCAACGATCCGTGGAGGAGTTGCCGAACCCGAACACTGGCCTATCGTTCTGGTCCACATGAAGGACCCGAGACTCTCCATAGGCCGCCACATTGACCGCCATGAGCTGTTCAAGCGCCGTGACGGACCCGATGCTGCGAGTTGCCCCGCAATCCAGTACAGCTTTCCCTTGCTGCACCGCCTCCCTGGTGGTGATGCCCGTCACATAGGCCTCGCCACCGACGGCTTCTTGGCCGCCATCCTGGAGGAACGCCGCGGTCTCTTCCATGTGGGTCTCCATCATGGGCGGTCCAATCAGGAACTCGAGAGGGTTCGTCTCGCTGACAACGTCGTGCTGGTCCCCGGCCTCCATGATGATCTCGGTCGCGAGCGCTGCTGGGGCCTCCTCGAGGAGCTGGGAAAAACATATGAAGGACGCGGTCTCATTCTCCGCCAAGTTGGCCGCCTGAGGATTCGGACAGTTGGCAACCCGATGCCCCTTTTTCCCACAACCCAAACAGATCATCTGCGAGTCGTCCTGGTTCCGGCGCGGGTTATTGCCCTTCCCTTGGCCTTTGGCTCCGACACGGAAGTACTGTCGGGACATCTTGAC